TTTGTTTGGCTGATTTTTTGTTTTGTTTGGTGTTATTTTAAATCTGAACTAAATCTGAATGGACAACACTTAATAATTTGGAGACTAGGGGCACCTGGGTGGCTCAGTGGGTTAAAGCCTCTGCCTTCGGCTCAGGTCATGATCCCAGGGTCCTGGGATTGAGCCCCTTATGTGGGGGATGTGTCTCTACTCAGCAGGGAGCCTGCTTCCCCCCACCCCCACCTGCCTACCTGTGATCTCTGCCTACCTGTGATCTCTGTCAAATAAATAAATAAAATCTTAAAAAAAAATAATTTGGAGACTGCACCCAAAATATCCATTTTTGGCAGGAAATGATATCTGGGCCCACCTTCCTGCATTCCTGGCTCTGTCCGCCTGTGTGTTTGCCTGCCCTCATCATAGAACTTAAGGAGGTGATGATGTTATACATATTCTCCTCTCACTCTTGTGGGGTGTTTATTCTCTTCTTCCAGCCAGTACCAAGCATCACTCTGTCCCAATGCTCAAAGCCTGGAAGGACACTTGGGGACATGCTTTGCCAGCCCTGGGACAGGGAGACACAGGGATTCCCAACGTCACTGAGGAGAGACAGGGTGGGGGTGAAGAGCTAGAGGCAGCTCAGAGTCTAGCAAAGAGCCCTGGGCAGGAGCCAAGGCATTGATCATACCCACATCTCTTTCCCTAGCCCCTCCCTGCTTCTCTCCTGAACCTTAGACCTTGGGATCCCATGGTCTCCTAGATACCTTTCCCTGAACATCCCCTCGGCCCCTACCATCTACTGGGTCCCACACGAGCTTCGAGGCCTCTCTAAACTTTACCCCTTTTCCTGGGCCATTTCGGGGTAGCCCCACGGCCCCCCAGTCCCTCCCTGGGCCTCATAACAGACACCTCTTACCCTCCCCTACCCCAGCCCACCAACCCCAGGGCCTGTCCATTTGGCCTCCTGAGTGTCTCTCCACATACCCCCTCCGTACCCTGGTCTTCTCCCTTACTTCTCCTGGGCTCCCAGCCTCAATCTCCTCCTCTGATCTATTCTCCACAATGTAGCCAGAGGACTCTTCGGAAAACCAAACCAAACCTGATCCTCTCCTGCTTAGAACACTCTACAGTTCTGCAGAGCCCCAGGACTGAGCTCTTCCGCCCGGTGTTCACAGGCCTCCATAACCGTGCCTACCCCTGCCCCAACCATTATTTGTGGCCAGGCCTTTACTCTTCCACCCACAGTTTTTTGTTGTTTGTTTGTTTGTTTGTTTGTTTGTTTGCATTTGGGGGACATTTTTATTAACTTGCTCCTCAGTTCTGAACCCTCCCTTGGCTCCCCAATTCCCCTCTAAGCAAAAACCAAAGTCCTAACTTGGGGCCACAAGATCTGTTCTCTTCCCTCTCGCTCTCTGCTGTTCATCCCCTCATGCTCCCTACCTCACTCCCTCTGCTCCAGCCACACTGGCCTCCCTACTTGTCCTCGCACAGGCCAAATCAGTTTTCCACTTCAGGGCCTCTTCAGAGCTGTATCCTTGATCTGATTTGCTGGTCCCTCACCTACCCTCATGGCTCTCTTCCTCATCTTGTCAGATCTTACCTTCTCCTGTTTCGTTTTTATTACCACTTATACCATTTAACACCCTACACATCATTTTACTCTTTTTGGGGGATGGGTGGGTGGAGGAGGGGTCTGGATTCTGTGCCACTAGCCCTCAACATGCCAGTCCTGGTTTCCCATCAACTTGGACCCAACTCAAAATGACTTCCTCTCTCTCAGCTTCGGTTTCCCCAGCCACCACATTTCCTACTTCCTAGGATTATTGGGATACAGTAACGGCCAAGATTAAAAGCTTCTCTGTACTCAGGCTCTGAGCACAATACTTGATCTTTGCTGTTAATGACCACTTCTGGAAATAGGGAAACTGAGGCAGAGCCAAGACGAGTCCTTTTCAGAGTTACACGGCTCGGGATCCCCATGTCTCACCGCACCAAAGAGTCTGAGCCACCACCATTCAACCTCAATGCTACCTTGAGTACAAACCGGGAGGGTATGAAGATGGCAAGAATCGTTCCATGCCTGACAGCGATAGTCAGACGGGTGGCAGGAAAAAGCTGCGTGGCCCGTCTTATGGCGATAATCCTGTCTTTCGGAGCTCCCATACCCCGATCGTTTGGTGCTCCCCTAAAAGCCCCCTACCTCGGAGTCCTCACCTGATTTCTCCACTTTCACCTTCACCGGGAACATGGTTTGCGTTTGAGGTGTGGCTAACTGGGTCAGAGGAGCCCAGAAGAGCCCAGGATCACAAATCAAGGCTGAAGGCAGACGGGTAGAGGTCAGATAAGCTTTGTGTGCGGCCAATCCTCAGCGCTGAGCAGAGTCCGGCACCGACCGCCACTGCAGCCGCCACCTCTACTAGTTTTCCTTCTGTGGGCGGGCCCCTTCGGCAACTGCTTATTTCCATTTGTCAGTGCAACCGTCGATCTCATCCCTGACCAATTGACAGCTGCAGCCATCGGCTCCCAGGTCTAAGTCCCACCTTTCTGAGGCCCCGTTTCCGGAAACAAACCAACGGCATCCTGGAGAGCTTCTTGGGAGGTGTAGTTCCAGCTCCCAAACACGTAGCCAGAGTAACGGCGCCTGCGTCGCGCGAGGCACTGTGGTTGATGTAGGACCAGGGCTTCGCGAGGCCTCTCGGAACTTGTAGTGTTAGAAGCTTTGAGTAGCACGAATTTAGCTATTGACGGGGTTTATTTAACCGTGGGAGCCCTTTTTGTCCCTGAGGAAGAGAATTCTGGAGTTAGGCCGGTTTCAGTCTTACTGAGCACTCGCTAGATGCCATCTACCTGTTAATCTCTCTTCAGGCACCTCATTTATTTAGCAAGTATTTGTTAGCATGCCAGGCACTCTTCTAGGTACTGGGAACACAGCACTGAACAAAAGAGACAAAAACTCTTCCCGTAATTGAGCTTATATTTTAGAGGATGTGAGATTACAAGAAACAAGTAAAACATATTAAATGAAATGTAATGAGAAAGGATAAACACTGAAGGCACATTGGGAGTACCAAAGTAGGGGCTGAAATTTTAAAGATGGTCAAGGAAGCCCCCTCTGATAAAACTCTTGGCTATGTCTAATGCTGCAGGCAACATCCTCAGAAAACGGGAAACTTCCATTTACCACATACGCTTTGGCTCAGAAAAATTCTAGGAGATAACACTGATATCCAAATTTCTGATGAGAATACTGAGACCAAGTGAGAAAGTAGTTTTCAAATTCACACACCACCAGCACAGGATAAAGGCCCCTAGCAATGCCAGCAATAATCCTTCCTTCTGCATCTGTAAAATAGGGTTCCAGAGCAGGAAAGTTCCTATTTCAGAGGATGCAGAGAATGAAGGACTGCACATATGTGTGAAGCACTAAGCCTGGCACAAGGTGGGCATTAAATATGTATTTCTGAATATTAATAACCATTTTATGCTTCAACCTCCAAAAGATCCAGGAAGTCAATATAGAGAATTAGAGTCCTTTATTGGGGGATGTCAGCAAAGAACACAGGAAATGGGAACAAGTCTTGGGGTTTGAGAGTGAGCTTAGAATAGAGGAGCCCATCCTGGGCGAATGAACAGGTCCCAGTCCTGTGCAGAGGAAGGATCAGGGGGTACCCAGGGGTATGGTGAAGGAGAGGTAGTCACCAAGGGCGCCCCAACGGGGCCGGTAGATCTGGAAGATGGTGATCCAGGTGGTGAGCACAATCACCCAGAAGAGGAAGCCCACAGCTGAGCGCCAGACATCTGCAAAAGGAACAAGAATGGATAAGGTTGGCTTCCACCTGATCTCTAGTCTCCCGCCCCGCCCCCGCCGCGCTGGCCCTCTCTTCTCTTCAGAAGCCCCGAATCCTGAAATCTCCATCATTCCCTCCCAACATCTGATGGCCTTCCTTCATCTGTACCCTGGACTCACAGCCTTTGATTTGGCTCTGCTCCGTGTATGCTGGGACAAGGAAGGCCTCTCGGAAGAACCAGAAGATGTTGACCAACCAGAGAAAAGGCAGGAAAGCAAACCCACCTAAGAGAAAAAAAATAATAATAATATAAATAAAAAACTGTAACGTTAGGCAGTGAGGATCCTCCTCCCCCTACCCTCTCCCCGCCCCAACTCCCACCTAGAGGACCGAAGGCAGTCTCCCATACCCAAGTTCAAGTGGCGATCTCTGCTATCAGAGACTTAGAAATCCTGGCTCCCTCTCTAGGGCCCCCAAATCCGACTCCTCATTCATCTCTTTCTCGTGACCCAGAGTCCGGCCCAACGTCCCCCGTCTCTTGGGACCCAGAAGCTGAGGTCCCAGCTTCCTCTTTCCTTAGGTCCCAGGCCCTTCCCTTCCCTTCCCAGGAGTCCGCAACCTCAGTCTTTATCCCTTAGACTCAAGAATCCAGGCCCCAGGCTCTCTTCCCTCTGGCGCTCTAGTCCGGTCCCCTCTCTTCTCCTGGGATCCTAGGAACCGGCCCTTACCCAGGTAGTACTTCCGGCACAGATTCAATTTTTCCTCGTTAGACACCCGCTCCAAGTTCATAGTGGCGCTGAGGCCGAGTCTCCCCGCGGGTCTGTAGGGCAGGAGCCAAGCCTCGACCCCAAGTGACAGATGCAGGGATCGCGAACAACCACGCCCCTATTACGACAAAACGGAGAAAAACTGAAGGGTGGGTTTGCTGAAAGAAGGGTACCCCGGCCCCCACCAACAAGCTGGCTGGGTTGAACGTTCTTCGTGTTTATTCGGGTGCGCGAACAGTCCCCAACTCACCAGTGCAGTCTATTTCCTCGCTTGGAAGCCCTTGCGGCTTTCAACTCCGGAAGTTTGCGCGAGATACCGCAAGTGTCTCTGGAGTTTGTAGTCTTTTTAGATGCCGCATGCGCCTTCGGGAACTCCAGTGGTGATTTTGCCGGGAGGGCGCAGGCCTCGAACCTGCAAGCGCAGTAGGCAGTTTCTGAGCGCGTGCTGTGTCGGGAGGCAGCGACGAACTACCCTTCCCAATGCTCTTAAGCAACGGAAATGACGTGAAGAGCAGACAGAGTTGGAGGGTTCGGGTAAAAATGGCTGAATATTTAGCTTCGATATTCGGGACTGAGAAGGACAAGTGAGAACGGGCGCAGGGAGTGGCTCCTTGCGGGGGACAGGACCGGGACATTTGGTTCCCTGGTGGCTGGGGGGCGTTGGGCGGTGTTTCTGAGGTGTCCGGCCTCCCCGGCCCTCGGTTCACCTCTGTCTTTGCACCTCTTCCAGGGTTAACTGCTCTTTTTACTTTAAGATCGGGGCCGGCCGGCACGGGGACCGGTGCTCCCGGCTTCACAACAAACCGACTTTCAGCCAGGTGAGACCCGGCACGGAGCTTTGAGGGTTAACGTCTCCCGGCCAATCCCCTTCTGTTGTCCGTCACCACGAGGTGCCGCCTTTTCCGGCTTCCTAAGCCCCACCCCACCACCGGCTTTTTTCTAGTCGGGCCTCTGCAGGTTCCTCCCCCTCCTTCAGGCCCCTCTCCCAGGATCTTGGCCACGCCCCCGTACGTACAAGTTACACGCTGGGCTGTCCCTGACTGCTAGGTGTCTCTTTTGGTTTCCTTAGGGGCAAGCATCGATGATGCACTCAAGATGCTTAGGCTTCTTCTCTGTTGCCAAGTGTCACCCCTCAACCGTCATACCTCACCTCACCCCTTTGCATGAGCTCAGGCCCCGCCCCCTTTAAATTCTGTTCAGACCATAGTGCTACTCAACCTGTACCAGAATCCACAGAACACCGCCCAAACCGCAGACGGATCGCACTGTGAGTGAGGGACCGGTCTTGGGGGCAGGGCGGACAGGCCCCAGCAGGCCAGCCCCTGATTTCACTCTGCTCCTCCTCCCCCCCAGGTCACGTGAGCGACTTGGAGGCGCAAGAACACTGATAACTTCTTGGAGGTGAGGGTTGGCAAGGGATGGGTAGAGTTTCCTGGAGAACAGTAGCTCAGCTGAGTTTCTCCTGGTTTTCCGCAGGAGGTGTTCACGGAGCTGCAGGAGAAGTACGGGGTGATTGAAGAGATGAATGTGTGCGACAACCTGGGGGACCACCTCGTGGACAATGTCTATGTCAAGGTGCCTGCTGTCCCCACATGAGAGCCTAGAGGTGGAGGCATTTCAGTGCCTGATGGCCACCTTTGAAGCCTCATAGCTTGAGGTCCATCACTAAATCCAGCCCGGCCCCAGAGCTGCTGACGAATCCACTAAAGACTTCTGAGTTTGATTGCTGACCCTGATCGACTTTCCCCTCAGTTTCCGCGTGAGGAGGATGCAGAGCGTGCAGTGGCTGAGCTCAATAACCGCTGGTTCAACGGGCAGGCTGTGCACGCTGAGCTGTCTCCTGTCACCGACTTTCGGGAGTCATGCTGCCGGCAGTATGAGATGGGGTATGGTAGCAGGGGGCTGGGATGGGCACCTGGAGTTCCCACACTCCTGTGTGTTGGGATATTGTCATTGACAATGGCTTCGTCCATCCGTCCGTCCATCCTCTACCCAGGGAATGTACTTCATGCACCTGCGGCCCATCTCCCGTAACCTCCGACGTCAGCTGTATGGGTGGGGACCCAGGCGCAGGTACCTCAGGACCAGCCTGTCCAGACAGCTCATACCCTAAGGCCCTTAGACCCTGACATGGACCTCATCCTGTGCCCCCAATAACAGCATCTCTTTTTTGTATCCTAAGACTAGCTCTGAGCACCATCCAAAGACCAGCGCCTGAGTCTCAACCCCCAAACGAGCTGGAACTCCAAAGCCCCAAACCCAAGACCAGTCTGGATCTCCAGTCCCGAGATTGGTCCCTGAGAACCCGTCCCGATACCACTCAGGAACTCTGGTTACCTGCCCCATCCCAGAACAGAGAGGCAGAGCTGGGGAACAGTGCCTCACTCCTTCCAGCTCTAACCCTCATCTCTCCACTCCTGTCCCCAGGTCACCCCCGAGGTCCCACACCAGCCACCATCCCCGAGAAAGAAACCGACGACGTTCCCCAGACCACCGGCATGGCCACTTCTGAGACCCTGGCTCCCTTGACCTCTACCCCTGACAGGCTTAAATGTTCCCAGCTAGGACCCCTCCTTAAAGCTCCCTTAACTCCCCAGCTCCATCTTCCCCAGGCTCCCGGGCTCCATGATGTATCTGTTCAACACAGGGATCTTCTCTTACCACCCCTCCCCTAATAAAGCTCTGTATTGAGGGTTTAGAACCTATTAGCTTGAGCCTAGCTGTGGGCTGGAGTTTCCTTCCACCCCCACATCTCCTCATGAAAGGGGAAGCGGGCTGGTCTCCGGCCACAACTTCTGCTGAAGAACTTCCAACAACAGGTGGGAGAGCAGTAGGCTCAGGCCCAAGGCTCTAGAAACCCCTCAGTGGGATGGGTTGCGGTGGGCACGCCTCTGAGCTGGGAGCCTCAGCACAGCTCTCCGGCTTTTCTAGGGGGAGGTGCCTGGTTGTGACAGGTTGGAGGATCCCCAGCCCGGAGGGAGATTGGGGTTAGACAGCTAAAGTAAGGTTCCTGGGAGTTGAGTGGGAATCTCCAGAGGGTGCAGGCTGGGTCCTCCATGCCAGCTGCCCTGACATGGCGTTGGAAATACCTGCTTTAAGCTTACCATATGCCAGCTTCTGTTCTAAGTACTTCCAGTAACGATTTTAATTCTTCACAATAAACCTTTGAGACAGGTACTGTCATCCCGTTGTAGGGATGAGAAAAGAGGTAAGGAAGATGACAGAGGTGGGATATGAATCCACTCGTTGTGGTCCCAGACTCCTCATTCTAGCCATCTTGAGGCCTTTGTGGCCCTTCCGATAATGGACCAGGAGCTGGACTTGGGGCTGGGGGTAGATTCCTGTCTTCCAAAGGGGTCTGGGGATTCCATGCCCCCACATCACTGCTTCCTTCTTCTGCCTGGGTTTCCTGGAAAGTGTGACAGAGTCGATGTGGTCGGAAGTTCTGCGGTCACGGCTCCCCAGGCTGCAGACCCTGCCCGGATGGGGCCCCTATGCCTCCTCCTGACTCTGCGCTGCTCCTGGCCCAGGTGGTGCCTCGGGAGGCCTCCCAGCACTGCGGGCGCCTGGAGTACTGGAACCCTGATAACCGGTGCTGCGGCAGCTGCCTGCAGCGCTTTGGGCCACCCCCCTGTCCCGGTGAGGAGCCCAGACGGGGCATGCAAATGTTCAGGCCGAGCCAGTGGGTGATAAGGAGCTGGGGAAGGGACGAAGTTTGTGGGTTACTGCCCGTGGGGCTTGCTTCGGGGTGGCGGCAGCAGGCCTTACACAGGTAAGACAATGTGGGGCTCCGCTTGTGATGGAAGGGATGGTACGGGGATTGCCGGTTAGGCCGGATAGCAGCAGTGTTCAAAGGCTGGGCTGAGCAGACAAATCAGGAGTAGGCGGGGCTTGGTGCCGGAGCGGGGTGAGGGTAACGGGTAGCGGGGCCTGTGGAGACAGGGTCTGGAGACTGGCCGGGCTAGTGCGGGGAGGAAGGGTGGGCGCTTCGGTGATAGGTTGGTTTAGTAGGGTACAAGGGCTGGGGCCTGCTGGGATAGGACAAAGGGGGAAAGGGTGTCGCTAGTGCAGGAGAGGAGTGCCTGGGCAGCTGTAAGCTGTAAGACCCTGTTTCCCACCAGACTACGCCCGAGTTTTCGGAAAACTGCGGGCTCAATGATTCTGGCGATCACATGTCGCGTCCCTTCAAAGAATGTCCTTTTGGGCAGTGCAGCCCCGACAGTGCGGAGCTATGTAGCCCCTGTGGCAGCGGAGCCACGGCCCCTGCTCCCGCGGGGAGCCGGAGAGGAACACAGCAGCGCTGCCCACAGGTGCTGGTCGGGCTCCGGAGGGCCTGGGCTAGGGTGCAGCTTGCTGGAGGCGGGTTGGGGGCTGGGGGGCGTGGTCTGGGGTTAGATGGGCGCGGCCTGGATCAAGGGAGGGGGTGTAGCCCCACTGAAGAGAATAGGGTGGGGGCATAATAGATCAGGAGACCTACCTGCGTTCAATTGGGGGGGGGGCGCGGGGGGTAGCTGGATCGGGTGGGGATTTGGTCCCACTGAGGGCTGGAAGGATGGAAGGTTCAGGCTGAGGGGGCAGGAGTCGGGCATGCCTCCCACTTTACTCCAACCTATTTGCAGAGGTCGATCCCTCCCAAGGAGCCCTGCCCCCTGAAGTCTGGGAAACCAGATGTCCTTAGCTCCCAGGATCCCAGCCCATCACCGATTTCCAGTCTGTCGTGGACATCTGAGCGCAGCGTCACTCAGGTCTTGCCAAATTTTGCCCTGCCGGTCGTGCTGGTTTTCATGGTGCTGGTTCTGCTGGTCACCTCAGCAGTGGTCCTCCTGGTGGGCCAGTGGTGTCACCGCCAGGCAAAAGTTGTCCTCCATCCCTCGTCCTCTCCAGGCTCCCTGGAGGCATCAGAGACAGGGGACTCACGGAAGGAGGTCGCTCTGGTTCCACTCCTGGGCAGAGGTTAGTTGGGGACATGCCAGGGAGGGAGGTGGATGGGAAGATTGCCCTTCCTCTCCCTCACCCCCAAATTTGTCTCCCAGAACTGCCGAATTTGGCTTCACAGCCCCTGTCTCGCCTCCTGGATGAGCTGGAGGTGCTGGAGGAACCGACTGTACTGCTGGATCCCGAGCCGGGGCCGGGCGGCGGGATGGCCTGTGGCACCACCAGACACCTGGCGGCGAGATACGGAGTGCCTGCTGCCTGCTGCACCTTCGCGTACTCGTTGCGGCCCGGTCGCTCGCCACTTCGGGCCTTGATTGAGATGGTGGTGGCAAGGGAGCCGTCTGCTTCTCCGGGCCAGCTTGGCACACACCTGGCCCAGCTAGGGCGGGCAGATGCGCTGCAGGTGCTGTCCAAGCTTGGGTGAGCTGGGACTTGCCCAGCCTAGTCCTTAATAAAGTTTCCCGTGAAATAAGTGTCCGCTGTCTCTGAGCCTCATTAAGGCGAGATTTTGAAACAGTCTGAATTAGGCTGAGACCCAACAGGAACGCTCTTACTCCACCACACACACAGACCAGAATAAAGCCTGAGGGGCCACCTAGAGCCGGCCTCTGGTGCCTCTGGGCAGCCCGGGTCCTCCCCGAGAAATGGCCCTGCTACCCCTGGAGCAGGTCATCCGCAGGGAGCCCGACTTGGTTCTCAATGGGAACCAGCAGAGCATGTGCAGCTCTGAAGCTGGAACGGACCCCTCCCCCCAGTTTCCATGTCCTTCCCAAGGGTGGCCTCTCACCTCCTGCTGAGGCTGACAGGCTTCCCTGGCTCAGGAGTGGTGTGGACAACCAGGAGCGCCCACCCGCCGCAGCACCACACAGACAGGAAGACCACCTCTCCAAACATTGACAGACTTTATTATGGGGGGTTCCCACCTGGGAACCCGCCCTCTTAAATAAAAAAGTGCATAGAAAAGAAGGGATTTAGAAACCTTTGTACAGTATCTACATCCTGGGCCCCCAAGGCAGGGAGGGGGCGATTGCTGGGTGGGCTGGAGGGGTGGAGGCGGGGCCTCTGCCACCTGCGGCCCACGTCCACCCTGGACAGGAGGGTGGGGGTGAGAGGCTCCGGGGGCTGGGGGGGGGCTCAGGAGCACCCCCTCCCCAGCTCAGGGCCAGACGGCAGCAGGGGCTGTGGGGCGGCGGTGGCGGCGGCAGCGGCGGCGGCCTCAGTTCAGGAAGCGACGGCAGCGCTTGGCGCCGCAGTTGCAGGGCAGCTTGTTGCTGGCGTCCTCGATGGGGAACTTGTAGTCATAGGTGAGCTCCTCCCCGCGCAGGATGCGGCGCAAGGCGAAGATGACGATGTGCTTCTGGCCCTCCACGTGGATGACCCGGGAGAAGCAGTTGGGCTCGCACGAGTGGTTGATGAAGCGCGCGGCATTGCCGTGCATCGTGGCGTCCACCACATCGAAGTCGTCCATCCGGAACATGTAGCACCCGATCCCCTAGAGTGGCGGGGAGGCAGGGTCAGGGGCTCTCGGTGCCCACGGCCCAGCCCTGCTGTGCCCACCTCGCTCCCACAGCCCCACGGAGCCCACCTTCCCATCGTAGAACTTCTCCCGCTTGTCAGTCAGCACGGAGCGAATGACGATTCCAGAATACTCGATGACCATCTCACCAGCATCAATGTTCCGCTTACAGAACAGGCCCCGCCCGTGGATGGCAGATCTGCAGGGTAGGACGGGCCAGAGGGAGCTCAGGGGGGAGGGGGACAGAACCAAGGTGGCCCTGCACCAGGGCACCTGTCCATCCACCCAAGGGGCATCCTCCCCCCAACCCCACTAACCTGTAGACACCCACAGCCTCTTTGGATGTCTTCTTGAGGTGGCGAAAGCGCATGGCCATGGGCAGCTCCAGGCTGGTGGCACGTCTGGTGGGGTCAGCAGTGTCACAGGCTGGTACCCAGGAATGACCTCTCTTGCCCCTGGTCACCCTCTTTAGGACCCTTCCAGAACACCTCCAGCACCCTGGCCTGCCCTCCGTACCTGGTTGACCTGAGCTGCACCTCATCCTCTTCCTCGTCACAGGCGGCTCCCTCAGGGAGCACCCGGTGCTGGGAGGCCAGGAAGTTGAACATGTCAAAGGTGCATTTCCTGCAGCAAGCGGGGAGGAGAGAGGGTGGGTAACAGCCATTCCTTCAAAGAGATGTCACCCACCTAACCTCTGACTGGGGCTTGCTGCTAGCAAGAAGAAATACTGCTACCCCCAAGACACAGCAGGAGGGGGACGGAGCGGGGGTTCACTCGTCTGCTGTGAACTCTAGGAGTAATTCCTGGAGGGGCCAAGCACCTTCTCCCAGGCCTCAGTTTCCAATCTCGAGACCTAACTCCCGCGCTTGACAACACCCACAGGGCCGCCCCGACATCTCACCGGAGATAAACCTCGGCCCGGGCTGCTCCATGGGGGTTCAAGGGGGGTTCTTCCTGGCCTTCTCCCTGCTGGTGGTAGCGGAACTTGTAGTGCTGGCAGCGCTGGGCCCCGGGCAGCTGCTCTGCCAGGAAGATGACGGCATCGTGGTGGATGCCCAGGAGCCTTGCCCCGCTCATCCCTGGGGACAGTCAAAGGTGAGGACACACGTCATGTCAGAGGTCCATTCTGTCCTCTGGGAGTGCGCTCAGCGCTCAGCATCCCAGCAGCCCCTGGGCTTACCACTGAAGGAGAGATGCCGGAGCCGGGCGTGCCCTCGGGCCTCTTGCACCTTCTCAATCAGAGTTCTCCATGCCCCTGAGGGGAGTGCAGGGCCAGAACGGTCAGGATGGGGCTCGACGGGAGGACCGGACACCTTCCCTCCGTCACCACCACTCCCGACTCACCCTCCAAGCTCTCTGCCTCCACACTGAACCCATCCTCACTGCTGATCTCGAAGCGCAGATGCGGGCCAGCCCGTTTGGGGACCTGGTTCTCTTTGTCCTCTGGGGATGGAGGCTCTTCGTCAGAGCTTGACGCCTCACCTGGTCCCAAGCAGCAGGTCAGAGTAGGTGAGGATCACCCCTCCTGGACTCCGGGGCCCCGGGTTCCCCAACCCCCTCCCTTCCTCTCCATGCACAAGCACAGACACTTGGGCTGAGGGCTCTCTTCCTGCTCTAACTGCCCCATGAGCCCTGCAGGATGGACATTATTTTTTTCTGACGAGCCCACAGTCCCTTTTCTGTTAGAGTTCTCGGAGAGATGAGCATTTCCACGGCAGCAGCCTGGGGTGCCCTGGCTCAGCAGGACACACTTCTGGCTCACTCAAACCCAGTTCACCAACAATGCCCATCTGCCCCTCGTTCTTCTCTCACAGAAAATTAAAAATACCAAAGGAGGATATCTTGCACGTGTATTTTTTTATATGCAGCACAGCTCTGTAAATATTACAAATTTATTATAAAGGCCTCTACCCAAAGAGTCAAGTACATGTACGTTATGAGCTACTTAAGGGATTTCTCAGGGGCTAAAGATTTTGCAGCTCAAACAGAGAGGACTTGCTGCTGTAGGAGATGGGGATGTGAGAGCCAGTGGAGGGTCAAGGACAACTCTGAGGTTTGGGGCCTAAACAACTGGAATGGAGATGGTGAGGAGAGGGTGGAACAAGGTAGAGAGCTGAGTTTGGGACATGCTGAGTCTGAAATTCCTCTCAGAAAACCTGCCCTTGCAACCTGCTGGAGACAGGGAGCAGGCAGCGGGATCTAGGAGCCTGGCTACCAATCTGCAGGCTGTCAGAGTACGAGATGGGATCCAGATCCAGGGAGAGATGAGAACACCTGAGAGTAAGTGCAGACAGAGAAGTCACGGCCGGGGCGCTGGGACACTGGGACATGCCAAAGTGACAGGCTGGGGCAACGAGGAGGCAAGAGCAGAGAGATGAAGAGAGGGGTGGGGTTTGGGAAGCCAACGAAGGAAGTGCTACAAGGGGCGCGGGGCGGGTGTGTGTGTGTGTGTGTGTGTGGAGATCAGCCCAGATGCAGCGGCTCGCTCAAGCATGGCGCGGTCTGAGGACTGACCGTCCAGAGCGGGGAGGGTGAGAAGAACCTAAGTTTGAGTGGAGGGTGCTGTAGGAGAGGCAGGACCCACGTGGCCACGCTTGCTCCCCACACCACTCCTCCGGGCCAACCTGACCACATGCCCTCCCAGCCAGAGGCAAGACTCCAAACCTGGTTTGCTGTGCGACCCCATCATCTCCAGGCCTCAGTGCCCCTGGGTTCACCTCTGACAACTTCTTCCACCTCCTCTTTGCCCTTACCCCATCCTCACCTCCATTCTGTTCCCTGAACCCGACAGGCTGACTACAGGGGCCTCACCCGGGCGCTCTCATTGCCTTCTTTCTCACGGCGCTCGTTCTCAGCTGCAGTACACTTGCTAACGTACGTGTCTGCTTCCTCTACCAAAATGTGGCGTGGTCCCTAAGGGTGGGGACCTGTCCGTCATGGTCACTGCCATATCCTCACGCCACCTCTGACCCCCATACGCAGTCTTTCAGTTAAGCGGTCTCTCGTGTACCTCGCTCGGCTTCCACGCTCAGTAACAGCGCTACGTAATGAGACAATCCACGTATCCGGACAGGGCTGGGGCCAGGAGAAATTCCGAACCTCAGGCTGCTCTGTTACCAGCTCACTTGGCTGTAGCCTACCCCCTCTCCCACGGCCCTCTATAACCAACAGAGCACTCACTGCCCTCCCAGCTTCACCGAGGCCGTTAGCCCAATCCACTCCGCGCGCACCCAACCTGCGTCCTGACAGCTTTGCAACTGCACTGATGGCCCCTCCCCCGGCCCCCACCCCGAGGCTCCCCCTCAGTGGTCTCTTCAGATCCAATGGCCACGCCTTCTCCCACCTCTGCTTCCCTCCGCAAGCCCCCTTCACCCTCCTCCGTGGCTTTGCTGTCTCAGCCCTCATACAAACCCCACTGGGCTGCTGCCCACCCTCTCCTCTCAGACCCTTAGCCAAGCTTGCTGGCAAGATGCCTGGGTCTTGTTTTGGCCCGCTCATCAACCACGGTCTTCAATTCTGGACCCTGATGCAACATCCTTCCCAGGGCAGTACCCCAAGAGTCCACATGCCTGGTGTCCTCTGCGGCACTGCTCTCTTTTTATATCCTTCCTAGTCCTCCTGCCCCTCTGGATCCTAGATGAGCTCCTCGCTGGCTGAGTGCTCTTGTCTAGCTGTATGGCTCTAAATCCCACCTCTAACTCTGACAGCCCCCACACTGCTCAGCCCTGCTAGGGACCTAACCCTCTGACCCCGGCAGATCAGGCTCTGAAGCAGACCCCTGGGCTCTTGGGCACTTCCGCAGGGCCTTTCACGTGGAGCTGACACTTCATCCCTCTTTTTCTGCCATGGGCCACAAGCTCCGAGGACATCTCTCTAACTCTGAATACCTAGTCTCGGGCTCAGAGCCAGTTGGTGCCCAAGAGCTATCTTTTGAAACGGACCGATTCTGCATCTGAC